CTACTTCTGTCAGCCATTTTTCAACATTAAAATAATTTTAGATAAAGCATCATATGCTTATAGAACTTTGTGCTTGAATAAAGTCTTGAAATAAAAATAATGTAAATTTTTTACTTAGGCCGTGCTTAATTGGAAGCATTGAACTTAAATTGAGAAAAATCTATATTGATAGATTTCATTTATCTCATATCTCCTTTTTGAATGATAGCAAATATACAAAGTAATGGTTGTAAGAGGTCAGGGTAGATGAAGTCTGTAGTTTTTGAACTATAGGGTTGAAAAGGACTTCCAAAAGGATTTATTTAATGAGTGAAATGGAATTCCTTATGACAGACATTTCCCCTGAACTCTTTTCTATTGTAGGTTTAAACTATATTATTGAAATCTGATGATTGTTAGCGTCTACTGTTAATCATCATTTGTATGATGTTCTCTTTTTTAGCTAGGTAGCAAAATTACAACTTTTCTTAAAAGGTATGATTAGTCTATTTTAATATGTGAGCCTTTTATTTTGATAGGGTGTACTCTTTTATCCCCCCCACAACCCCCAACCTTCCTTCATATCCACTTCTCTTCATTCACGTATGGGCAGCAGCAATATTTTTAGTATCTCTACTCCTTAGGGGAAAGTACTTTTCCTTGTTCATATTTTTTAAAGATTTTTCAATTACATATGTAGAAAGAGATCTATTAAGGATCAAGAAAATCTTAACCTGTGTAAAGTATTAGATTCTAGCCACAAGAAGTAGTTTCCTTAGAAGTTCCTTTATGTATTCTACTTGCACAGTGTTTACATAAGTGACTTCTGTGGCAAATATCCATAAGAGATGTATCATTTTTATGATTATTTGTGCTCCTAATTCAGTGTCTGGGTCATGAGAAGTTTGGCTCATAGCTTCATAATAGTTCAGGAAAATTGATTTCTCTTTACTTTGGTCTTCCAGTGGATCTGGAGTTTTCTGATTACAAGAAGGAAAATTAGATTACACTAAAAATTGTTCCTTTCTTTGAAAAATAAAAGGTTGACCTACCTAAAGTCACCTTCCTTTGGACTGTAACCTTTAGAGAGAACAATACGTTAATATCTTTGCTTTCTTTGAGTTAGTTCCCATAGCTTTAGTTCCTGTTGTTAGGATAAAGTCACAGTATTCTGGCTTCATGGTCTTTTTGTATGTATGAAAGAGTCACAGAATCTTCACATCACACATCCCTGAAAAACTCAAGTTGCCTGGAACTATGGCCTCAGGTAGTATTCTGCAGGTCTGCAGCCAATGTCCTGCAGGGAAAAGTGACCTAGTTCCTGTTGTTAGGATAAAGTCACAGTATTCTGGCTTCATGGTCTTTTTGTATGAAAGAGTCACAGAATCTTCACATCCCACATCCCTGAAAAACTCAAGTTGCCTCGAACTATGGCCTCAGGTAGTATTCTGCAGGTCTGCAGCCAATGTCCTGCAGGGAAAAGTGACAAACTTCCCATGAAGTTACGAAAAAATATTAGTAACCCACACACTTAAAGTCCAGCTTCCATCTTAACTTGTGGAAATTGTACTAATGGTAGAATAAATGAAATTAGTTTTCTTTTAAAGATACTAACATCCTATGAGATGCAAGCATTTAGATTATTTTCTCTCATTTCTCTTAGGGTTAAAGCTCAGGGAGCTTTTTCTCCCTTTGGTAGTATAGAACCATTTGTACTGTAGAAAGAACAGCTAGAAATGTGGAGCTCGTATACAGCAACCTAATAATAAAAAACAGTGAATGAATCAATAGGAAAATATGTTGGTGATTTCTGCAGGGTAATAGTTTTTGAGTCTTAGTACATTTTGGAATGTGGATTTAAGCCACTGTCACCATTTGCAGCAATAGCTTTGTTAAAAAATTTTATTATGATGAGAAAACAAGTATGTTGCTTTTAATAGTCTGAGTATTGACAGAAAATAAGTCCTCATTTTCTTTCCATATAATCACATCAGCCAGGATGAGTTTCCCAAATAAAAA